CGTCGCCGCCTCGTCGTCGCCGCGTCGTCATGTCCCGCCTCGGCGCGGCTCGGTAGCGACATTTCGGTGGCGACATTTCGGTGGTGACATTTCGGTCGCGACATTTCGGTGGCAACATTTCGGTGGCACCATTCGGGCGCGGTCGTTGTCACCGCGTGTTCGTCGTCGCCTCGTCGTCGCGTCGTCGTCGCCGCATCGTCGTCGCCGCATCGTCGTCGCTGCGCCTCGTCGTCCCTTCTGGGTTAGGTGAAGTGAAGAGGAGCAATGAGGCCTGTGAGGCTCGGGGGCTGCAGCGACTGTGAAGGCACCTGGGGCATGCAGCGACCGCTGAGCCTGCAGCGACTGTGGGGGGCACCAGGGGGCTGCACCGACTGTGCACCTGGGACCTGCAGCGACCGTGAAGGGCACCTGTGGGGGCTGCGAACTCGCCCGCGCCGTCGCCGCGTCCACGTCGTCGTGTCGCATCGTCGTCGCGTCGCATCGTGGTCGCGTCGTCGTCGCGTCGTCGTCGCGCCGCCCTCACCTCTACCCCGCTATCCTCACCCCATCCTCTTGGGTCAGGAGCTAGGACCCGCGGAAGGGTGCAGCGAGGGAGGGCGGCTGCGCATGCCTGGGCTCTGTGAGGGCAATGACGGCACCCAGCAAAGCAGCGAGGGCACCTGTGAGAGGGCACTTGGAGCCTGGTGAGCTTGAGTGGGCAGTGAGGGTGTCTGTGAGGGCACCTGCATGAAGCCTTAATTTGCATCCAGTGAAGGCACGAGGGCAGCCGGGGCTGTGAGGGCACCCATGGACATGCAGCGATTGTGAGGGGGGAGCAGCGACGGTCTGGGGGCAGCTTCGCCGCATCGTCGTACCCCCATCCCCCGCGCGGTCGCCGGCTCGTCGTCGCCGGCTCGTCGCTTACTCGTCGCTTCCCGCGCCGTCGTCCTCACCGGTACATCCTCACATCTATCCTCACCGGTATGCTCACCACTATCCTTACCCGGTCCTCACCGCCGCGCCGTCGTCGTCGTCGTCTCCACGCCGCCGTGTCATCGCCGGAAGCCTCACCGGAATCCTCACTGCTATCCTCACCCCGCGCCGTCATCGCCGCCTCGTCGCCACTAAATCCTCACCGCTATCCTCACCCCGGCGTCGCCGCGTCGTCGCCTCGTTCATGCGGTATCGGCCCACATTGTCCGCTGCGGTACCACCCACTATCCTCACCTCTATCCTCGCCTCTTCTTCGCCTCTTTCCCGCCCCGTCGTTGCCCGTCCTCACCCACTCTCCTCACCCGCTATTCATCCTCTTCATTCAGGAGTGAGGACCCGAATCAGGAAGCGCCTGCAGCGAGGCATCCGTGAGGCAGCCGCTTAGGGCAGGCGCACCCACGCACGCGGCAGGCACCTGCAGCGAGGCTGGGGGCTGCAGAAACTTGTGAGGGCACCTGTGACCTGCAGCGACTGTGAGGGCCTGGAACGGTTGGGGGCTGTGGATTGTCAGGGCACCTGGGACCTGCAGCGACTGTGAAGGTGTCTGGAAGGCTGCAGCGAGGGCACTCGGCAGCGAGGGCATTCGGCAGCGAGGGCACCTGTGAGGCACCTGGAGAGACTGGGTCACCGCGTCGTGGTCGTCGCATCATCGTCGCCACGTCGTCGCCGCGTTGTCGTCGCAGCCGTCGCCACGTCGGCGCCGCATCACCTCTATACCTCCATCCTCTGCCTGCGGGCGTCGTCGCCGCGTCTCGTCCTCTCACCCCATCCTCTTGGTCAGGAGTCACAATGAGGGGGGCGGTGAGGGCGCCCGTCAGGACTGCAAAGGGGCCTTTTGTGAACTGAAGGGAGGCAGGGCAGAAGACCGAGGCTGGGCCGGGAGTGCAAGAGGGCAGGCCTGAAGCCAGAAAAATGGGCGCCCAGTTGCGCCGCTCTTCGGTGCAGCCAGGTGCAACCGCGCCCTTGGCCTGGATGGTACTGCAGCGGGCGCATGGAGGCTTCGGCTGGAGGTGACCGGAAGCGGCTGTGCAACCAGGTGCACCCAGGTGTCGCATCGTTGTCAGGGGGCACAGGCAAAACGTGCTTGTGCTTTACCAACTTAAGTCTCCATCGGAGTTGTTAGAAGGTTGGAGGTAGAGCTGCACTTCCCCCGCGGAGGGCAGCTCTCCAGGCATGCATTTCACGATGTTATGGTCGCCGCTGTTCACGGTGGTCGCCCTGCGCCTGCACGCCGAGGTGGGCCGGGCTCGGCAAGGAGACTGCAGTGCGCCGGGCTTGGAAGCTTGGAAAGTGCTGGGGCATCTGGGGCTTGGGGACTATGTGGAAGTTGCAAGGCTGCAAGGCCTCCAGCCTCCAAGCTGGGCTTGGAGGCTGCACCGTCCCATCGTCGTCAGTCGGCGCACCCAGCTGCAATCAAGTGCATTCAGGTGCACACCGCCGCTCCCTCCCTTGTGCCGCCCGGCCCCGCCGCCCCTCCTGCCCCGTCGTCGTCGCCGCGTCGTTGTCGCGTCGTGCTCTATACCTCTATCCTCACTCTCACTGCCGCGTCCGCCGCGCTGCTTTACTTCTACGCCTACCACGTGAAGGCACCAAGCTCCTACGTCCCCGCGTCGTCGCCGCATCGTCGCCGCGGCGTCGTCGCTGCGTCGCCACATCGTCGTCGTCGTCGGCGTCGTTGCGTCGTCGCGTCGTCGTCGCGTCGTCGTCGCGTTGTCGCCGCGCCGTCCTTATTGCCATGTTCTTGCGTCGTCGTCGCATCGTCGACGTCGTCGTCGTCGTCATCGCCGCGTCGTCCCCCTTCGTTGCCGGGTCGTCGTCGCCGGGTGGTCGTCGTCGCGCCGCAAGAAAAAACAACCGTTCCTGGCCTCTTTTTGGGACCCTTGCAAAGGAGGCCTGCAGCACCTGGCCTACCTGTGAGCTGCGAGGGCACCTAGTGAGGGGCACCTGGTCAAAGGTGCGGGCACGGGCACCGGTGCCGGAAGCACCGGGCAAGGGCACCTGGTCAGGCACCTGGTGAGGGCACTTGGGTGTGGGCACCTATAGTGAGGGCACCGGGGCTGCAGCGAGGGCGCCCTACCCACAACTCTTTTCATAAGGTTCTCATCAGCCCAGTTCTCCAACCCAGTTAAGGTGCCATGTGATGAGGTGACCTGCCACCGCGTCGTCGCCGCGCTGCCTTTATCACCTTTATCCCACCAAGTGAAGGCACCAAGCGCCTACGTCCCCGCGTCGTCGCCGCCGCTCCCTCTGCCTCTGCCTCTACCCTACCTCGCCGCTGCGTCGCCGCGTCGTCGTCGCGTCGTCGTCGTCACTGCACCGTTGTGGTCGCGTCGCCGCCGCATCGTTGTCGCCGTGTGCAACATTTGGGGTAACGCGGCTCTGGGGTAACATGTGGGGTAACATAATTTGGGGATCTCTAATGGTCTAGAGGCCACGGCACAACAGAGAACAGCGGTATCCACACAGGTATCCACGCGGGTATCCACGAAGCTTTCGCATCCTCGCCGCTATCCTCACCCCTATCCTAACCGGTATCTTCGCTGCTATCCTCACCTGCTTGCCGCCGTGTCGTCGTCGCCCGTGTTCGCTGGTATCCTCACCTCCTCGACGCCGCGTCGTCGTCATCCGTCCTCGCTTCTATCCCACCGGCATCCTCACCGCTATGATTGTCCTCACCGGCGGTATCCTCCCCTCCTCGCCGCCGCGTCGTCGTCATCCGCCCTCGTTTCTATCCTCACCGGTATCCTCACCGCTTTCCTCATCCTCACCGCTATCCTCGCCCGCCTCGCCACCGTCGGGCCGTCGTCGCCGTGGTCGTCGTCGTCGTCGTCGCATCGTCGTCGTCGTCGCATCGTCGCCGTGCTCGCACCGCTGCTCCGCTGCCCCGCGTGCTCCCCCTGCATCGCATCGCACCCTCGCTGGAATCGAGGCCTAGGATCCCCCCACTGCGTCCCACCAACAGTCCGGCATGCATGGCATCTGCGGCAGCCCTCGCCGTGTCGTCGTCGAAGCGTCGTCCCCGCATCGCCGTCGTTTTCGCCGCGTCGTCGTCGTTCCTCGCCGCGTTGCCGTCGTCGTCGCCGCCGTGATGCTGTCGCGCCGTCCGAGTCTGCCGCCGTCGTCGGTCCCATGCAGTGTGGTCGTCACCGTCGCCGTCGTCCGAGCGCCGCGCGACGCCCCGCCGCGTCGTCGCCGCATCGTCGCATCCTCGCCGTCGTCGCCGTCGTCTATATATCCTTATTTTCGTGCTGGTTTCTCACCCACCACGGCCTTTCGAGGCCGCCACCAACACTTACCCGTCGTTGGTCTGCCCTCTCCCTGCCCTCCGCGCCCCTATCTTCCCCCGCCGCCGTCGTCGCTGTCGTCGCCGCTGCTATCACCGCGGCCTGTTCCCGGCCTATTCGCCCGCCGTCGTCATCGTCGCGTCGTCATCGTCGCCATCTGACACACTTGCGACATCTTGGTTCGGGTCTTGTCGTTGCCCCCAATTCCAGCCCTGCAGCCCATCGTCGTCGTCGGTCGTCGTCGCCACCGCCGGCGTGGCCAATCGCCACTAAACCGCTGCCGCAGCTTTTGCCGCAACAGCCTGACCCCCCTGCAGCATGCAGCCCCAGCAGCAGCAGCCGGCAGCACCACCCAACAGCGCCGAGCCCAGCAGCAACAGCAGTGGCACCAACAGCAGTGTGCCAGCAGCAGCGGCCGTAGCAGCGCAGCAGCCAGCAATCAGCAATGTCCTGCAATCAAGCACGCGCGCGAATCTGGAGGCTCGAGATGTCAAGATGGAGGGCCCCAGCGGAAACCTCGGATGCCTTAAGGTCGAATCGCATGGCAAGGACCTCCCAAAAACATACATGGCAGAGCAGGCCAAACAGCTCACGAGGTGCCTCTAACAACTTACACTGCTGGAACAGTGCATGCTTGGGGCGAGGCCCAGGTGCCGTGGAACGACCTGCAGAATTGACGCGAGCAAGAAGGCAACCCTCAAACAAAGGACCCTTGCTCAAACACTGCGCTTTGCCGGAAACTTTTCAACTGCACCCCATCCGCTTGTCAAAGTCTTGGCAGCTAACGTGCAGCAGCTCCCAGTCATGAGAATCTTTGGGCTTCCACTCGCAGGGTTTCTCTCCCTTGCGAAAGTCCCACAAAGCCAACTGCGGCTTGGTTGGCGCAGGGGGCAGCAACTGCGGCCGGTCTTCAAGCGGGCCATGCTTGTGCTCCTTTGCAATGCTGATCTGGATGGCCAACACCTCGGTCTTCCCGCCAAACTTGAACCTGAGAATGCTGTCGAGCACAGCATATTGCGGGCTGTCAGGCGTGAAGTAGCCCACAATGTCATCGACGACTGCGACGGCCTCCTTGTTATAGTCTTCGATACTTTTAGGCTTCTCCTCCAACTTCTTGAACTGTTTGCAATCCACGTCCACCTCCTTGGCGATCTCCTTGCCCGTAAGTGAAAGCTCGACCTTCTGCTCTGTCGCTTCAGCATCCCGCCAAAACAGGTGGACCAAGAGCTCGAAGGCACAGCCGGCGGCGCCTGCGTTCATGCTCGAGAGCTCCTTGTACATGTTCAACACCTCCTCAAACTTCGCGTGCTTGTTCTGCTTGATGCACTTGATGACGAAGTCGGAGCGGGGCATCGGCCGTGCTGCGCTGACGCCCTGCGCGAAGCTCTCATCGTTTGCGTGGGAACCTTTTCGGGGAAAGAACGACAGAAGTCCCGTGCGGTGCTTCTTGTCAACATCGTCCAGGCCCAAATCCAGGGCCAGCAACCTTTTCATGTCTGCTTGCTCCAAGCCCCCTACGGCTGCTCGAATGACCCCCTCTTCATCGCCAGGCTTGAAGAGAAACCGCACGGATCCACCACAAACTGCATACGCCTGCGCAGGCGGAGCGCCAGCGTCACCCAACTTCTCACGAAGCTCCTCCACCTCGTCTTTTGTCCAGCTCCAAAGAACCAGCTTGCACGGCGACAGGTGAAGGGACGGCTTGCCAACGATCTTGGTCTCACCGTGGCCGGACATCAGCCCCATGAACTTCACGTCAGCGAACTCGTTCTCGTTCCGCTCGATCAGCTGCCGGACCCCGGTGAAGATGCGAGTCGCGTCATCAGCGAGGTCCATGCTCACGTCCACGATGCAGACCTGGCACTTCGACTCTCTCAGGACCTGCTTGAGCATGTGCCCGTTCCAGCTCACCTCCTCGTACTGCTTCTTCACCTGGAAGTTGGCGATGGCCGTCACGTCTGAGTTCCTGATGGTGAGGTGCAGGGTCTTCTTGCCCACCTTCTGCAGGGTGTAGGCCACCAGCCACCCGCACCACGTCTTGCCGGTGCCGGGGCAGCCGACCAGCGACACCAGGCGAATCTTCTCCGCCTGCAAAGCCTCCACTGCCTTGTTGTGCACGTTGAGGAGATGCTTTCGCAGGAAGAGCGGTCTGTCAGCGGTCGTGTTGGGTGCCACGAAGTCCATGAACTGCTTGACGTCGAGCAGCTCGTCGGCCTTGAACTCCCCAAGCTCGAGGAGCCCGAAATCGCCCAAATCCACCGGCACAGTCGGTCCGGGCAATTCCTCAAGCAGCGAACGTCTACAGCACCAAATCTAGAAGCTACCGCGACCTGAGTCGACCCTCATGCACCAAAACTAGCCCCTCAAGTGCAAGCTGACCTGGCCTGGGCTGGACCCGCCGCGACCTTCTTCTCGGCCGCCTCGACCTCCTCCTTGGCCGCTTTGATCTTCGTCTCGGCCGCCTCGACCTCCTCCTTGGCCGCTTTGATCTTCGTCTCGTCGTTGGCCTCTGCGGCCTTCTGCAATATCCCCACTGCTATCGCCTTCTCCTGCAGCGCCGTCTCCTTCTCCTGCAGCGCCAGTCGCAGCTGTTGCTCCCAAGCACTTTCCTGCCTGGCTGGATTGCGGAATGCAGTTGGGCAGGTCTCAGCTACGATCCCGTCTCAAATCCTGCACAGCATACCCGGCCGTGCCTGTTTAGCAACTTTTGGCGGCGGCTCCTGCACAAGAAAAGGCTTCCGCCAACCAAACTTCCAAGAAACTCGCATTGACGCCCTCCTCCGGCTGCCCAGCGGCGAGGCGCTTCTCTGGCGGCATTGCGAATCTCTCCAGAATTTGAACCAAAGCACTACGCCGCACGGTGGCAACGGAGGTTCTCTCCACCAGCAAGTTGCAATGCAAACCCGCGCAACAACGGCTGCACAACAGGCCTCGTTCAATTGTTGGAGGCCGGACCATAGCCCGCACCTGCCAACAGCATGCTGGCATGCTCATGTTCACAAAACTTGTGCATGCTAAATGAAAGCCAGCCTCGACCAAAAGGGGAACCAAGCCAGCTGCCAACTCATCGACTTGCACACCTAGGCCATAAGACCATGCCAGCAATACTGAACCACATTCAGCTTCGCTTGGTCTCCAGCTTCCTTCCATTGGTCTTGAGCGAGCCCCTGCTGCTCCAGCACAAGTTGCAGCTGCCGCTTTGCAGTATTAACCTGCCAGGCCGGATCACAACACAGAGTGGAGCACGTCTGAGCTAAGAGCCGATCTCAAATCGCGCCTCATCTTCGGATCTAGCAGCTTTTGGTCCTCGCTCCTGCACAATACAAAAGCTTCCGGCAACCAAACTTCCAAACAACTCGCGTTGACGCCGTCCTCCGGCGGCTCAGCGGCGCGACGCTTCTCTGACATCATTTCGAATTTGAACTCAAGCACTGCGCCGCACGGAGGCAACGTAGGTTCTCTCCATCAGCAAGTTGCAATGCAAACCCGCGCGAACAACAATTGCACAACAGGCCTCCTCCACTCGTTGGAGGCTGGACCATAACCCGCACCTTCCAGCAGCATGCTGGCATGCTCATGTTGAAAAATCGGGGGAATGATACAGGAAAGCCCGCCTCTTCCAAAAGGGGAGCCAAGCCAGCCGCCAACTCATCGACTTGCACACCTGGACCGAGGCCCTGGCCGCCAAAACCTCGCGATCTTCAAACGGTCCTGCGCGATCTCGAGCAGGTCCAGTCGCAGCTGACGATCCCACAAATTGTCCTGCCAGGCTGGATCACGAAACAGTGGAGCACTCTGAGCTACGAGTCCTCCGTCGATGGAGCGGCGGGACGCTTGGCGGGGCACTTGCTTGGCGGCTTTGTAAAGATCTCCAGACTTTCAACTAAAGCACCGTGCAGCAAGGTGGCAGCGCTCAACCCGCAAGTCGCAGCTGCACAACCTGCCTCATCCACTTGTCGGGGTCATGGCCCGCACCTGCCGATAGATGAAGGAAAGCCCGCCTCGTCACCCCGCATAAGGGAAGAAAACGAAGTCCAAACAAATCATGGCCAAAATGCGCGCAAACGTATCCATACTTAGCAAATTTCAGGATTCCTATCTTCCATACACATTGTCGGGTATCCTTGTCGGTAACATATTTTAGTACTGGTGAGGCTTGCCTTCTGCTTTCTACTGATTTTCACGCCTGATTTGAGGTCAGCTCCAACATCTCTGGCCAGCGCAAAAGATAAAAGCCACGAAATATTGAAACAAAAACCATGTCCAAGTCGTGGGCACCGCTTTGCTGATTGCTGGCTGCTGCGCTGCTACGGCCGCTGCTGCTGGCACACTGCTGTTGGTGCCACTGCTGTTGCTGCTGGGCTCGGCGCTGTTGGGTGGTGCTGCCGGCTGCTGCTGCTGGGGCTGCATGCTGCAGGGGGGTCAGGCTGTTGCGGCAAAAGCTGCGGCAGCGGTTTAGTGGCGATTGGCCACGCCGGCGGTGGCGACGACGACCGACGACGACGATGGGCTGCAGGGCTGGAAAGAGGGGCAACGACAACGATCGACTCGGATGTCGCAAGTGTCTCAGATGGCAACGATGACGACGCGACGATGACGACGGCGGGCGAATAGGCCGGGAACAGGCCGCGACGACGGCGCGCGGAGGGCAGGGCGAGGGCAGACCAACGACAGGTGAGTGTGGGGCGACCTCGAAAGGCCGTGGTGGGTTAGAAACCAGCACGAAAATAAGGAGATAGACGACGGCGACGACGGCGAGGAAGCGACGATGCGGCGACGACGCGGTGGGGCGTCGCGCGGCTCTCGGACGACGGCGACGGTGACGACGATGCTGGGACCGACGACGGCCGCAGTCTCGGACGGCGCGACGGCATCACGGCGGCGACGACGACGGCAACGCGGCGAGGAACGACGATGTGACGGCGATGACGACGACGACGCGGCGACGACGACGGCGATGCGGGGACGACGCTTCGACGACGACACGGCGAGGGCTGCCGCAGATGCCATGCATGCCGGACTGTTGGTGGGACGCAGTGGGGGGGTCCTAGGCCTCGATTCCAGCGACGGTGCGATGCCATGCAGGGGGAGCACGCGGGGCAGCGGAGCAGCGGTGCGAGCACGGCGACGATGCGACGACGACGACGACGATGCGACGACGACGACGACGACGACGACGACGACGCGGCGACGACGGTGCGACGGCGGCGCGGCGGGCGAGGATAGCGGTGAGGATGAGGATAGCGGTGAGGATACCGGTGAGGATAGAAGCGAGGGCGGATGACGACGACGCGGCGGCGAGGAGGGGAGGATACCGCCGGTGAGGACAATCATAGCGGTGAGGATGCCGGTGGGATAGAAGCGAGGACGGATGACGACGACGTGGCGGCGAGGAGATGAGGATACCAGCGAACACGGGCGACGACGACACGGCGGCAAGCAGGTGAGGATAGCAGCGAAGATACCGGTTAGGATAGGGGTGAGGATAGCGGCGAGGATGCGAAAGCTTCGTGGATACCCGCGTGGATACCTGTGTGGATACCGCTGTTCTCTGTTGTGCCGTTCCCCAAATGTTACCCCACATGTTACCCCAGAGCCGCGTCACCCCAAATGTTGCACACGGCGACAACGATGTGCGGCGGCGACGCGACCACAACGGTGCAGTGACGACGACGACGACGAAGCGACGACGACGCGGCGACGCAGCGGCGAGGTAGGGTAGAGGCAGAGGCAGAAGGAGCGGCGGCGACGACGCGGGGACGTGGGCGCTTGGTGCCTTGTGGGATAAAGGTGATAAAGGCAGCGCGGCGACGACGCGGTGGCAGGTCACCTCATCACATGGCACCTTAACTGGGTTGGAGAACTGGGCTGATGAGAACCTTATGAAAAGAGTTGTGGGTAGGGCGCCCTCGCTGCAGCCCCGCCCTCACTAGGTGCCCTGACCCAAGTGCCCTCACCAGGTGCCTGACCAGGTGCCCTTGCCCGGTGCTTCTGGCACCGGTGCCTGTGCCCGCTCCTTTGACCAGCTGCCCCTCACTAGGTGCCCTCGCAGCTCACAGGTGCTGCATGCCTCCTTTGCAAGGGCCCAAAAAAGAGGCCAGGAACGTTTTTTTTTCATGCGGCGCGGCGACGACGACCCGGCGACAACGAGGCGATGACGACCCGGCGACGGCAACGAAGGGGGACGACGCGGCGATGACGACGACGACGCCGACGATGCGACGACGACGCAAGAACATGGCAAGAAGGACGGCGCGGCGACAACTCGACGACGACGCAACGACGCCGCCGACGACGACGACGATGTGGCGACGCAGCGACGACGACGCGGGGACGTAGGAGCTTGGTGCCTTCACGTGGTAGGCGTAGAAGTAAAGCAGCGCGGCGGACGTGGCAGTGAGAGTGAGGATAGAGGTAGAGCACGACGCGACAACGACGCGGCGACGACGACGGGGCAGGAGGGGCGGCGGGGCCGGCGCGGCACAAGGGAGGGAGCGGCGGTGTGCACCTGAATGCACTTGATTGCAGCTGGGTGCGCCGACTGACGACGATGGGACGGTGCAGCCTCCAAGCCCAGCTTGGAGGCTGGAGGCCTTGCAGCCTTGCAACTTCCACATAGTCCCCAAGCCCCAGATGCCCCAGCACTTTCCAAGCTTCCAAGCCCGGCGCACTGCAGTCTCCTTGCCGAGCCCGGCCCACCTCGGCGTGCAGGCGCAGGGCGACCACCGTGAACAGCGGCGACCATAACATCGTGAAATGCATGCCTGGAGAGCTGCCCTCCGCGGGGGAAGTGCAGCTCTACCTCCAACCTTCTAACAACTCCGATGGAGACTTTGGTAAAGCACAAGCACGCTTTGCCTGTGCCCCCTGAGAAACGCTGAGCGTACAGCGAGGTCAGGCAGCTGCGAGACTTCAAACCAGGGCTGAAGAGCCGCTCGGCGTTGCGGTGCATTCGTGTGAACGCTTGATGATGGGCTGCGGCGACGACGGCGAGCGGTGACGGGCGAGCCGCTCGGAAGCTGACGGCAGTCACCGAGGGGCAACTGAGGGGGCGGCGGTGAACCGGCTGACGACGACGGCGATGCGGCGGGGACGACGCGACGAAGACGACGCGGCGACGACGAGCGACGACGCGGCGAGGCTGGGACGACGAGGCGACGATGGGACGACGAAGCGACGATGGGAGCGAGACGCGGGATGCGACGCGGCCACGACGACGCGATGACGATGCGACACCTGGGTGCACCTGGTTGCACAGCCGCTTCCGGTCACCTCCAGCCGAAGCCTCCATGCGCCCGCAGCAGTACCATCCAGGCCAAGGGCGCGGTTGCACCTGGCTGCACCGAAGAGCGGCGCAACTGGGCGCCCATTTTTCTGGCTTCAGGCCTGCCCTCTTGCACTCCCGGCCCAGCCTCGGTCTTCTGCCCTGCCTCCCTTCAGTTCACAAAAGGCCCCTTTGCAGTCCTGACGGGCGCCCTCACCGCCCCCCTCATTGTGACTCCTGACCAAGAGGATGGGGTGAGAGGACGAGACGCGGCGACGACGCCCGCAGGCAGAGGATGGAGGTATAGAGGTGATGCGGCGCCGACGTGGCGACGGCTGCGACGACAACGCGGCGACGACGTGGCGACGATGATGCGACGACCACGACGCGGTGACCCAGTCTCTCCAGGTGCCTCACAGGTGCCCTCGCTGCCGAATGCCCTCGCTGCCGAGTGCCCTCGCTGCAGCCTTCCAGACACCTTCACAGTCGCTGCAGGTCCCAGGTGCCCTGACAATCCACAGCCCCCAACCGTTCCAGGCCCTCACAGTCGCTGCAGGTCACAGGTGCCCTCACAAGTTTCTGCAGCCCCCAGCCTCGCTGCAGGTGCCTGCCGCGTGCGTGGGTGCGCCTGCCCTAAGCGGCTGCCTCACGGATGCCTCGCTGCAGGCGCTTCCTGATTCGGGTCCTCACTCCTGAATGAAGAGGATGAATAGCGGGTGAGGAGAGTGGGTGAGGACGGGCAACGACGGGGCGGGAAAGAGGCGAAGAAGAGGCGAGGATAGAGGTGAGGATAGTGGGTGGTACCGCAGCGGACAATGTGGGCCGATACCGCATGAACGAGGCGACGACGCGGCGACGCCGGGGTGAGGATAGCGGTGAGGATTTAGTGGCGACGAGGCGGCGATGACGGCGCGGGGTGAGGATAGCAGTGAGGATTCCGGTGAGGCTTCCGGCGATGACACGGCGGCGTGGAGACGACGACGACGACGGCGCGGCGGTGAGGACCGGGTAAGGATAGTGGTGTGAGCATACCGGTGAGGATAGATGTGAGGATGTACCGGTGAGGACGACGGCGCGGGAAGCGACGAGTAAGCGACGAGCCGGCGACGACGAGCCGGCGACCGCGCGGGGGATGGGGGTACGACGATGCGGCGAAGCTGCCCCCAGACCGTCGCTGCTCCCCCCTCACAATCGCTGCATGTCCATGGGTGCCCTCACAGCCCCGGCTGCCCTCGCGCCTTCACTGGATGCAAATTAAGGTTTCATGCAGGTGCCCTCACAGACACCCTCACTGCCCACTCAAGCTCACCAGGCTCCAAGTGCCCTCTCACAGGTGCCCTCGCTGCTTTGCTGGGTGCCGTCATTGCCCTCACAGAGCCCAGGCATGCGCAGCCGCCCTCCCTCGCTGCACCCTTCCGCGGGTCCTAGCTCCTGACCCAAGAGGATGGGGTGAGGATAGCGGGGTAGAGGTGAGGGCGGCGCGACGACGACGCGACGACGACGCGACCACGATGCGACGCGACGACGATGCGACACGACGACGTGGACGCGGCGACGGCGCGGGCGAGTTCGCAGCCCCCACAGGTGCCCTTCACGGTCGCTGCAGGTCCCAGGTGCACAGTCGGTGCAGCCCCCTGGTGCCCCCCACAGTCGCTGCAGGCTCAGCGGTCGCTGCATGCCCCAGG